ATCAGTGGTAGACTAGCAATGGCATCAGTGGTAGACTAGCAATGGCAGCAGTGGTAGCGGCATGGCAGAGGGGATTGATTTTGTGTGTATGACCTAATCCTGCGCATGCACAAATGGACCTTCATGCCCGCTGCTTGCGTGGCCTGGCTTTCAACGGACTGCAGACTGGCCCCGCTCCCCGGACCTGGAGTTGTCTTAAAAGACCGGAATTCTCTAGGAACGGCAGATCTAGCTATACAATGAATGTCCACGTTGCACCAATTAAGAGGCAGGAAATAAATTAATATACAGCTATAGTAAGCAATTAGCACTGTTCTCTCCCCCAGTTGCATCTATCCTTCCCATCAAAATCTGGCAGAAGAAATAGGTTTCAAGTCCCACATTCAAAGGGGTTCTAACTGATGGGACCCAGGAACAGAGTCGATCCTGCTATTGTTGTGGTTGGCCGGCAGAGGTCTCGGACAGTGAGGATAAAAGGGAACCAGTCAGGCAGTCTGGCGAGGACTTGGATGAGGGTCCTGCATCCGATGCAGGGAGGGGGCCAGGACCATCTGGGAGTGGGGTGCTGCCTTCGGAGCCTTTGGAGCCTGGCAGCAGTGAGGCAGAGGACCCAGGGGAGCCTGTCCCCAGTGTGCTTGAGCGCAGAGCTGCTAGAAGGCAAGAGCAGCTGAAACAAAAGGGGGCGACTTGCGAGTGAGGCTGGGAGGTGATTGCCCCTCCCATAAGGGATAAAAGTCAGTCCTCAATGACAAAGAGCTTTGCAGGAAGCAAAGCAGTTCAATAGATTCCGAGTCCTTCTTGAAGCTCTGTGTATTCTGGTCGTTGTTTTTTTTCCTGGGCTGGTTTAGGTTAGCCTTAATTGGACTTCTGTTTCTTGGCAGCATTCGACAGCACTGATAAGCGTGCTCTTATCTGGAGGAATTGTGTATAATGAGTTTTGGCTAGGAATGCAAGTAATTCCCAGCGTCACATTAAAACAGGTTTTACTTTTAAATCCACTTTGTGTTTTATTAAATTTGACGAAGCCTGGGTCAGAACAGCTATGGCACCCAGGTTTTAGTAAGATTGGCCTAACCCCTTTGGCCTTTAGAAGTCCCCAAACACATAGATGTGCCATCAGGCTTGGGGATCTCATAGAGGTGAGGGTGGCTGTATTGTTTGTGAGCTGTAGGTTGGCACTCTCCTATGATTCTTTTGTGTGTGTGTCTTTTGTTATTTAACTGTTTGGATTGTTTTTCATTTTGTCAGTAGGAGTTTGGTTATGTTGCTTTAACTTTGTGAACCACCCCGAAACATGTGTGCGAGATGGGTAGTATCAGTTGTGCCTCCATTTGAACCTTTAAGCAAGAATGAATCCACTTGTTGAGAAAGGTAATAGTTTAGAAGAGGTCAAGTGAAATACAGTAAGGCAAAACCGGAACTGAAATTTGCCCGCCAAAACCCCAAGTGAAATATTTTCCCCTCTTAGGCACTTCCTGTTGCTGGTCCCTCCCATCACCACGTCAAAGAAGGTGTTTTTGAACTGGATGTAGGCTGGCTTGCAGCTGCATTCTTCTCACGGTGGAGTGACCTTGACACACCATTTTGGAGAGGCAGGCATACTTCCATTACTTTCACTTTCCTCCAAGCATTCCCCCTCTCCCTTCTACCTTCCCCCCAGGGTTCATGGCAGACCGGTACCTAGCGATAGCAGAAGCACCATTGTGTTCTGACTGCCGGTTATACACCAACCGGCAATGAAGCAGCAAATCACTTATAATTTGAGTAAAATAAATACAGTCCTGCACAGTGTGGAAGTGTCTCTGTATTACGTCAGAAGCCGATGTGTGTCACCCACTTGGGAATCTGCCCTTCTAAGCAAAAGCATACTTTTTGCAGATGTGCTGAGAAAGATGTAATATTAAGAGGAACAACCAATGGAAAGTCCATCATTGGAAGGGAGAAGGTAAAAAAACGTGCATTTTTTTTTTGAACAGCAGGGCAAGCTTCTAATCCCTTTGAATCATCTCCTTAAACTACAATAACTTATTTTTCCTCCCCCATCTGACTCTCTCTCCTTTTTCAATTTCTTATTGCAACATGAGTTCTGTAGAATTTCTGGGGAAATGAGTAATGCGATGTGATTTTTTTTTGTTAAAAAATAATAATAATAAAGTCGACTTCTGCTGTTATCTACCGCTTCCAATGGCTTCTAGCCACAGTTCTTTGAATGGGTAGTTTTGTCACTGTTCCACCATGGCTGTCCAACTGCCCTTTGCCTCAGCTCAGTTCATACTTATTTGGCGCTGTCTAATGAAAATGATTGTCCCACAGGGTTATCAAGAAAGACATGTCCAACTTATCTTTCTCAAAAAAGGAACAAGTCGTGTACATATTACTATCAACCTGCCTTCAATCAAGGACCTGTATACTGCACAAGTCAAAAAAGAGGGCTGTGAAAATATCTACAGATGCCTCAAATCTCAGACATAAACTGTTTCAACTCCTTCCCTCAAAACGATGCTGTAAAAGGACCCTGCACACCAGAACAACTAGACTCAAGGACAGTTTTTCCCCGAAAGCCACCACTCTGCTAAACAAATAATTCCCTCAACATTGTCAAACTATTTACTAAGTCTGCACTACTCTTACTATTAACCTTCTCATCACTCCTTATCATCCATCCCCTCCAACTTGTGACTGTCTGACTGTAACTTTGTCGCTTGTATCCTTATGATTTATATTGACTGTTTGCTAGTATGATTTGATTACTTATTGTACCTTATGACTATTATTTAGTGTTGTACCTGATGATTCTTGACTCTTGATGTATCTTTTCTTTTATGTACACTGAGAGCATTTGCACCAAAACAAATTTCTTGTATGTCCAATCATACATGGCCAATAAAGAATTCATTCATTCATTCATTCATTCATTCAATCTATCTATCTATCTATCTATCTATCTATCTATCTATCTATCTATC